CCGAAGCGGTTCTCTTGGTCCCTTCCAGCACCCACCTCTGTGTCCCCCGTATCCTCACCCCGCTGCGTTTCTTCCCCCTGCTAAAGCGAGCTGGATTACTACGACTCGCCCAGCGTGAACGCTCGGTGCCAGAAGATCTGCGACCAGTGGGATGTTCTGGGTTCCTTGACCCACAGTAGGAGAGAGGCTCTCGAGGTAAGCACAACCCGCCTCCCTGCTGGCTCCCTGCCCCGGACGGGGACAGAGGGGACAGGGCCACCATGGCGGAGCTCCTCCGCTCCTAACTCCTCCCGGCCATGTGCAGAAAACAGAGAAGCAGCTGGAAACGATCGACGAGCTGCACCTGGAGTACGCGAAGAGGGCAGCCCCCTTCAACAACTGGATGGAGAGCGCCATGGAAGACCTTCAGGACATGTTCATCGTCCACACCATCGAGGAGATCGAGGTAGGAGGCCGCGGGAGGAGAGGTGCGAAGGCTCTGTAGCCTTCAGCTTTCTGCAGAGACGTTTGTCTCCTGGTTTGAGATGGCTTCTTGGCCATTTTTCACGTGAGCTCTGGGGTCTGCGAGATCCAAGGAGCTTCTCCTGGGGGGAAGGATGAGCTGGTATAAAATCACTCTCAGAGCAGCTCCCCAAACCTGGCCCCCGTCTCTAACCCGGATCCCGTCTCCTGCAGGGACTCATCGCTGCTCACGACCAGTTCAAGTCCACCCTGCCCGACGCCGACAAGGAGCGCGAGGCCATCCTGGGCATCCAGAGGGAAGCGCAGCGGATCGCGGACTTCAACAGCATCAAGCTCTCTGGGAACAACCCCTACACCTCTGTCACCCCGCAGATCATCAACTCCAAGTGGGAACGGGTAAGTGCCTCCTCCAGCATCCGCACCACGGGTAGCCGAAGCGCCCGTGAGGCCGTCTGTTAGTGTGTCAGCAAATAATAACGAAGGGAACGTCTGTGGGGCTGTAGCTCCTGCTCCCTCCGCAGCCGGATGCTCCGCAAGCTCCTTCCCATTGTGCCTGGAGCACCGTGGGTTTCACGGCCGTGCCTTTCCGTAGCCGCCTTTCCCAAATATCTCAATCCCCGCAGCGCTGGCAAAGGTTTGTCCCCGCTGCCATGCGCGCCCGCGGGTCTTCCAGCACCGTCCCGTTCTCCTCGCAGGTCCAGCAGCTGGTGCCGAAGAGGGACCATGCCTTGCTCGACGAGCAGAGCAAGCAACAATCCAACGAGCATTTACGTCGGCAGTTCGCCATCCAGGCCAACATCGAGGGGCCCTGGATCCAGACCAAGATGGAGGTGAGGGCTTGGCCGGCGCCGGAGGGGCGGCTGGCGGTGGTTGTCCCGGCGGTCGGTGGGCTCCACCGGAGCTGGAGTGCCATCTGCCGTCCAGAGGGCTGGGGAAGGCAGAGCCGCAGCCCCGGGACCTTGCTTCGGAGTGAGAGCTGCCCTGCGTCTGCGTTGCCCCGGCTCCAAAAAGGATGGAAAGCGATGAATCCGTTGATAAAATCAGCCTGGTGCAGCACAGGGCTCGTGCTTACGCTTACTAGCAGACGTCAGCGCCTCGCGTCAGCCTCGGGCGGGTGGCTGGGTTCGTCCAGAGCACGTGGCGTTGCTCCTCGCGTGCCCGACCCTAACCCGGCCCCGCTGGGGTGGTTTTTCCCCCCTCCAGGAGATCGGGCGCATCTCCATCGAGATGAACGGCACGCTGGAGGACCAGCTCAACCACCTCAAGCAATACGAGCAGAGCATCGTGGACTACAAACCCAACATCGACCTGCTGGAGCAGCAGCACCAGCTCATTCAGGAGGCTCTGATCTTCGACAACAAGCACACCAACTACACCATGGAGGTGGGTGCCCTTCGCCCGCCCGGGCCCCAGGATCGCGAAGGGAGAGGTTTGACCCTTCCTCGTAGAGCTGAGCCAGGCTTCAGCTCTCTCCTCCGGGCGTCGGGAGGGTTCGGTGACACCCAAAGGTGCTCTGTCCCTCTAGTTAGAGCCTTGCGAAGC